CCTGGATCTGGGTGCTGCAGGAGCAGCCCCAAATCGATGCTGTGAGCCCATGCCTGGGGCTGGCTGTGCCTCTGCCTCTCAGCCCAGGATCCCCCAGGAATGGCACCAGGGCTGGGGAGCTCAGCAGGCTCTCACTCCTCAGCCTCCTGCCCTTCTCTGAGATAATTTTTTTCCTATTAAATAACACCATGAGCTGTTCCTCTTCCTAAAATAGCACACACCACCACACACAGTTTGTTTTGTTTGAATTCCTTCCCCAGTAAAACAGCACAAATCCTGCTGTAAACCTGACTCCACATCTCTACTCCATCACCAGGTTTTTCTTTTAGAGAGAAAACACTGAAGCAATTACAGATTCCCTGCAAATACAAAATCACAGAATCCTAGAATAATTTGGGTGGGAAGGGACCTTAAAGCTCACCCAATTCCACTCTTTGCCATGGCAGGGACACCTCCCACTGTCCCAGGCTGCTCCAAGCCCCAATGTCCAGCCTGGCCTTGGACATTTCCAGGGATCCAGGGGCAGCCACAGCTGCTCTGGGCAATCCCATCTGGGTGATGGGTGCACCTGGAACCACTGGGCCTCGGCTTCAGGCTGTAAATGCAGGTTTGAAACCAACACCTAAACCAGCAACTTGTTTTTTAACAGCCTTACCAGGGACCCCATGGAGCAGACACAAGCCCAGGCCACAAGAAATCATCTGGAGCTGTCTTTAAGCCTATTTCAAATACCATTTGTTATTTTTTTTCTTTTAAACAGATAACTTGGATTCCTCCAGATCTCCTCCTAAGCAACGATTCCCCAGATTTCCCAGTCCTGCCTCAGCCCTGCTGCTCCTCCAGCACTGGTGCAAGGGCAGGTCCAACCCTGCAGCCTTGAGGCTGCCACAAACACCCGATGATGCTTTCACTTCTAAAACACCAATCAAAGGTTTCCATGGGAACCTGCAGGAGCAGGAAGAAGATGGGAAATTACAGGTCAGCTCTACCACCGAAAGAAAAAAAAATTATCCCATTCCTTCGCCCTCGCAAAGTTTCAAGGTAACACACAAAAATATTGATTCATCAGGGTGCATAAAGGCAGAAAATATGCCCCAGAGCAGTTATTTGTTGTGAAAAGAAATCACTTTTAGTCCTTCAGAGGCAGGTTTGCTGTGAAATCACGTGAGGAGCTTCGTGTCCGCTCTGCCTCCTGGCCAGCCTGGCCAGCCTGACCCACTCCATTGAAAGCAACACGAGGTTCCCAGGAGGGCTCCTGGTGCTGCCAAGGGGCTGGGGCTGGGGAGCTCCTGTCCCTCATCCCTCCCTCCCTGATCCCCCCCTCCCACCCCCCGGTTCTCTCACACGCAGGTTTCCAGTTGCCAACCAGATATGACTCAACACCACACACACACACACAGAGGGAAACTTTTCCACCACTATTGACTTTCAGAGGAAATGGAAAAAGGAGAGAAAAACACATCAGTCATAAACATACTTTGCCAAATGGTTCATGAGCAAGTGCAGCATCTGCCTGTTTTTCTCTGGGAGCCGATGAACGAGGCTGTGGATCTCCGACACCCTGGACTCCTGATTCTCCAGCTCTGCATGGGGAACAGAAGATCGTTTATCTCCACAGGAGGGGGCTGTTATGGGAAGAGACCTAACACTGGCCCTGCCAGACATCCCAGGGAGCTGCTCCATCCCACACCAAGCCCTGCAGACGCTCCCCATGGTGCTGCTCCTTCCTGTCAGCTCCATCCAGCTCTTTCCAAAGGAAGACACCGAAGGGGCTGGGAGGGTGAGCTCACAGCAGATGCCACGTGAGCAGCACACTGAGCAGGGCAGGGCTGGCTGCAACCAGAGCAATTCCAGCAATGGCAATATGAGCACAGACCCATGGCCAGCGTGCCCAGGGCACAGGCTGGAGCTGCTGGTGCTCCACAGCCTGGTTTGGGTCCATGGTTGGGTCCAGGAGCTCAGCAGTGCCATGGCCATGGAGCATGGGGCTCTCCTGACATCCTATTCCTATATCCACAGGCTGGTTTGGGTCCATGGTTGGGCCCAGGAGATCAGCAGTGACATGGCCATGGAGCATGGGGCTCTCCTGACATCCTATTCCCATATCCACAGGCTGGTTTGGGTCCATGGTTGGGTCCAGGAGCCCAGCACTGCCATGGCCATGGCCACAAGGCTCTCCTGACATCCCACTCCCACACCCACAGGCTGCAAGGCTGCCAAGGGAAAATCTCCTGCTCCCAGCAAAGCCCCTTCCCCTGAGCAGGGCAGGAAACACATCCCAGACATCTGCAGCAGCCTGGGCCCCTCAAACCATGGTGCAGTTTAACAGCAGCTGATGGTCAGAGCTGCCCCAGGCTCGAGCTCCAGCACTGTCTGACCTTCCTCATCCTCCTCCTCCTCCTCTGGTCACCTCCCAGATCAGCCTGCCCAGCTCCAGCCCTGCCCTGGTGGCCAGGACACAGCCCAGGAGCACAGTGGGGAGGCAGCAGGGCAGGGAGGATCACAGCCACAAACTCACTCGCTGCTTTGATGAAACTCCTTTGAAACTGGTACATCATGAGGGGCCCTGGGAGCATTCTGGAAGATAAAAAGGAAACAGGCACAAAACACATCTGAGGAACACAATCCACACTAAGAAATCCCCTGCAGTAAACTCAGCTCCATTCTGAAAAGGGCAGAATTAAGCAACACCAACTCTAATTAATTCCCCCCATCAGAAGGAGTAAGATCAATGTAAGGACCTTTGATTTATTCACCACTAAATTCATCTTTAATTTTAGCATTCCTTCAGTAACACACCTTTAGTGCCTTCCTGAGCCCATGATTTCCAAATAAATTCGAAAATAAACTTAAAAGATAAACAAACCTAGTTGTAAAACTTTCCCAATCCCCATCCCCATGTCCCCTCCCACTGCTGCATTCAGAGGGACACACTGGTGCTGCCCACATTCCTCTCTGCTTTGCCAACAGTTCAGACTCTGGAGCAAAGGTTGCCAATCATGCAAAATTCTGTGATTTTCTAGGCTGGGATCCACCAGGCTAATTACACTTATCACCCTAATTGGATTTAGGCTCTCTCAAACACAACCCAGCACACAGCAGTCACTGAGAGCAAGGAGCTGTGGTCACAACAGGTAGAAGCACGTTGTGGAAAATGAGATGCTGCTGGCTGCCAACACCCAGTGCTGCTGGGAAGATCCCCAGGATGATACTGGCTCGCCTGACACCCTGAAATCATAACTACAATAAAGCTCAGCACCGGGTCTGATAAAGCTCTACAGCTCCTGCCCTTACACAGCCCTGCCCTCACCTTCTGCCACATGCTCAGGAGGTGGAAATCCACCAGGAAAAGCTCAGGCAAAAGCTGAAATCAAGGCAGGGGATGCAAGAATCAGTTTGAAAATCGTGTTTGTATAATATGTGCATCTGTCACAGCTGAGTGTGCTCCCCACATCTCCCTCAGACATACTGGAAAGTCAGGGAAAAGCAGAATAAATTCCCCAAGAGCAGTTTCTGCTCTGTTTCTATAAAAGTGCTGCTGTTAAGGATGTGCAATAACAGGCAGTAAAATCCCAGGCCAGCACCAAACCCCTCCTGAAGGCAGGTGAGGCTTTTCTCCTCACCTCAGGTACGTTTTCAGGGCACTAGTAATGGTCTTGATCTCCCACTCTGCACAAATCTCCGTGTCTGTCTCCGTGGCTGTCTTGGGATCTATGGAAAAGACAAAAAAAAGCAGTAATTGAAAGAAACTGAAGACAATTGCAGCTCGTGCCAGCTCAGCTGTGTGGGGAGACCATCCCAGCCCAATTTATTTGCTATTCCATCACCCAGGACAGCACAAACTCACTGGCATGGAGAGAAAAAAAAGGGAATCCTCCATCCTGAGCAAGGACAGGGGCAGTGTGGCTTGGAGGGTGCCAGGACAGCAGGGACAGCAGCCTGAGGTGCTCAGGGACACAGGGACACACACAGGGACACAGGGACACACACAGGGACCCTCTTCCCCACAATGGCCAGCACCAGCATCCTGCAGCCACCTCCAAAACAGCTCCTGGCTGGCAATTACAGCCATGGTCACCTGCACAGACACCTCACCTGCACAGACACCTGCATGGACACCTGGACAGACACCACCAGCCCAGTGGGAAGTGAGCTCAGGCACAGCACCAAGTCTCAGATGGTGACAGCTCTGAGCTGGGGCCAGGAGCACCAAACCAAGGCCACCAAGACCAAACCAAGGCCACCAAGACCAACCCAAGGCCAGGGAAAGGCTGGGCATGGAGGCGCCCCCTGTGCTGAGCTCTCCTGCCCTGGATGCTGCTCCACCAATGCTCCTTTGCTGACTCCATCCTGGAAACTCAGCCAGGATCCTGCTGCCACCAGCAGCCCCCTGGGGGTCCCACCCGTGCCAAGTGTCCCAGGGCTCCCACTGTCCCCAAGGCCCAGGGTGACACAGCCACAGCTGCTAACACCATCTGCTCCCATGGCCTCAGCTCAGGGTTTGGGTTTTTTTTGCCTTTTCACAGACACAAATAATGCACTTTTGAATTTTAAAGCCCCACATAAGCATTGGGCAATTTTTAACCTGCTTAAAAGAATGCTGTGAATAGAGTTCAGCTTTCCCTCAGGGCAAAAGGTTTATTTTAATTAAAAAAAAACATCAAGAGGTGCTTGGAAAAGTAAATACATAAGAAATGCATATTCACACAAAGATCATGTGTGTCCCAGCAATCACACAAATGACCTCCATCCTCCTGACTCAATGCCCAGGAAACTTCCTACAGCACTGCCTTTACAAGGAGAGAATTTTAACAGAGTCGAGATAAGTTTGGCATAGTAAAAAAAAAAAAAAAACACAGAAATTCCAACTTTTTTTTTAAAAAAAACCTTTTTAACCAAAGCAGAACAAACAAGTCCAGACCGTGTGTCTTTGCAAAGGTTCCCCCAGCAGTTTCCAGGCAGGATCATGGAACACGAGGTGAAATTCCACAGTCGGTCCCATGAAAAGGCTCAGAGCAGTTAATCAGCTCCCCTTGACCTTCAGATTTATGAGTCTGCAAGAAGTGACTGCCGTGGGCTGCAGCTGCAGCATCTGTGTCCCCAGGCAGGGGTGGCAGCCCTGCCTCCCACAGGGACACACAGGACTGGGGCACTAACCCTGGAGATGCTTTTGGCTGCCAGGCCCTGGTCTGATTTCTCCAGGGTGAGGGGAACAGCCTGATCATCAGCCCAGTGTGATTATCATGAAGAGAATTCCAGAAGAGCCTCAGGGATGATAAATCCCAGCAGTGAAGGGGTGGCAGGAGCCCCACTCCCAGCAGATCAGCTGCTGTAACTCACCTTGTGCAGAGCTCAGACCTGCTGGGGCACCCACAGTGCCACCATAAACCCTCCCGTGGGAGCTCCCACTGATGACAGCTGCGTTATTTGTTGGGTTTTGTCCTCATTTTTGATGGCACATGAACGCTGGGGAGATGATCTGCCCCCCACCAGCTCTGGGAAGAGCCCCCCCATTGCTTCACCCCAGTCCAGACCCAACAAGATCCGCCCTAAAACCCAGCCCAGGGGCTGGGGCTGCCCACAGGGAGCTGTGCCCTGTGGCCACCACGCTGACCTCCTGCAGGGACACCTCGTGCCAAAGCCCTTCCCAGCACTGCCACTGACACCAGCTCGGGGAAACTCGATCTTTTTGCCATTTAAACTCTATGTGAAGCAGTAACACTGCCCACATTCATTTCTAAATATAAGGGAAACCTGACAGTGGAAGCACAATTTGGCTCCTCCATTCAGGAGGAGCCCCGAGGGCAGTGAGAACAGATGGGGTTTGACAAGGGACACGTTTCTGTGTGACACTGACTTCACACAGCCCAGACACCGGGGATGATGAAGATTTAATCCCCCACAATTTGGAGGAATTATGGAGTCACAGGCTTGCAAAGCATCCCAATGGGGGATTCCCAAGAGGAGTCCCAGTTCCAGCCCTGACCCTCCTCCAGCAGAGCTTCCAGCACCAGCAACCCACAGGACACACCAGGACAAAGGAAAAGCACCAGCGATTTGTCACCTCCTTATGAGACACAGGGTGACAGCTGAGTGCCTGCAGTGGCTGAGGAGATAATGGATGCTGGATGCTGTCCAAAACTGGATCCCTCCCAGCTCTGCAGAGCTCTTCACCCGGGCACGTTTGGCCATCTGTCACAGGCCTGGGACTGACACCAGGACTGACACCTTTGTGACAGGAGAAGGGGCTCCATGGCCCTGCCAGCCAGGGGATGTGGCTGTGAGCATCACCTGAGCACCTGGCTGTGAGCATCACCTGAGCACCTGGATATGAACATCACCTGAACACCTGGATATGAGCATCACCCGAGCACCTGGATATGAACATCACCTGAACACCTGGGTGTGAGCATCACCTGAGCACCTGGGTGTGAGCATCACCTGAGCACCTGGATATGAACATCACCTGAGCACCTGGCTGTGGAGCTGCCAGGACGTGCCTGGGGCAGCAGGCCAGCCTGTTTTGCTCAGCAGTGCTCTCTGTGGATGCTCTCCTTGTGCCCACCGTGTGTGCCACGGGACACTGCTGGCTCCTCACAGCTCTGGGACCTTCACATGTCCCCAGCCTGTGCCAAACTTCTCCAATGACAGCAGCAGCCACCAGCTCTCGTGACTGCAGTGAACTTTCCAAATGCCACAGCAGAGAGGGCCCCTGCAACCCCATTTGGAGCTGTGCCCTCTACTCCCATCACCTGGATTATTTATTTTCCACAGGTTAACACTGGCAGCTGTAACAGCCACCACGGGCTTTGCTCACTGAACAAGTTAATGGTGGGAAAAGAAGGAACTGGGAAAGGAGAAGGAAAAGATGTTGAAACACAACAGAGAAGAACCTTCTGCAAGAAGAAATATGCAAGGGAGCACTGGAGTTTTGTGAGGCCAAGGAGAAGGAAAGATAGTAAGTGAAGGGAAAGAAGATGACCAGAAATGCCACACATTTCCCCCAGGGAGTAACAAACACATTCCATAGGGCACTAACAAATTAGTAAGCATTTGTTTCCCTACTCCTACAGCGATTTCATCCGTGGTTTTGCCAAGTCTGAGCAGCATCAGGCAGGACTGGCCAAGGGCAGCTGCCCTGCTCCAGCCCAGCTCTGCTCCCTCTTCCATTGTTGTGTCTCAGGCATGTCTGGACAGATGGACAGACTGGTCCAGGGCTGCAGCTGTGGGATGGAAACGCTGCCTGTGAGGTCAGGGCTCAAATGGTTCTGTCCACACAGCCAGAGCAAACCTCTGCTGTGCCAAGACCCAGCAGCTTGTCTCTATGGAGCATCCAGAACTGCAGGATCCAATGCCTCAGCCACGAGGGAAACACACATTGGAAAACTCTGGGCAAGACTGAGCTAAACAGGCACGAGAAAGTCCCTGGGGAAAGCAAGAACAGCCACAGGCAGCATGCAACATCCAGGAGAAAATCATTTCAAAGGGTGCTGGGAACAAGGGGGCAGGTAGGAGATGAAAAGCCAAAGCTTTCAGCTATTTCTTTGAAGATTTTGGTTTGCATTTGGGAAGGCTGCCAGAACTCAGAGCATGTGTGAGCAGGACATCAGCAGGACCTGGAGAGGCCAAACCCTACACCAGCCCTACCTTCAGACCTGCCCATTAGGGACCCCAGCCTCATGAGGGACCCTGGAAAGACCCTGCTCCTGCTTGCCAAGGCTTCCAAGCAGCACCATCTGCTTGCCTTTAACAAAATGCCAGATACTCACCCATTAAAATGCTCAGCAGCTTTTGGACTCTGGAGTTCACCCCCACGATCCGGTAGAGCCCCTGCTCATTGATCCCTGGGAAAAACAAGGAACTCATCAGCACAAGGTCACAGGAGCTGCTAAGATTTCTCTCACTTCTTTGGCTTCTCAAAAAGCCAATGAAAGGCTTCTCACCAATCAAATACAAAGCTACAGAAGATGATGAATTTTGGGGTTGATATCGAGGTTTGCATTGGAAGTGTTACCCCCAGCTAGCTCAGAAATAAGGATCTAAGGAGACTTTTCCTCCTTCCCACAACCCCTGCAGGATCTGCACTTAACCAGCACAATTTGGGACAATTTTCCTGTGTCAAGTTCTCCAGGTTGAGGTCAGAGCCTTTTGCATCCCATCCCTATGGGGGGCTGGGACAATCCCACCTGCACACAGGCAGATCCACGAGAGGATTTGGGGGCAGAATCCCACATGAGGACGTGCTTGGCAGCATTCCTGCAGGAGGGATGCTGAAGTGAACACCCCCCTTGGCTCCTGTCCCCCGTTTTGCACACCCAGGGTGATATTTCCTAACTCTGCCCCGTGTTTGTGAGTCCCTGCTGGTCCAGCCGTGGGGAAAACTTTTCTCAGCATCAGCCCCAGCACGTTCTGGGTTCATCTGGTGTGAGCCCCAGGGTTCATGAATCATTCTGTCCTTGCAAAGGGCAGGAAAGCAACTGCTCCACTGCCAACAGCTGCCCCAAAAGCCTTGAGGAAAGTGAAAACAACTATGAAAAAATAGCAGGAACACTATTACTTTGCATTTACAGAAATTCACATGAACCTGAGAATAATAAAATGTCAGTAAAGAGAATTACTCCTTGTGCTTAAAGGATAAACTCATCTGAATCTATAAAATAGAAGTCTTGAAAAGCTGAATCTTCTCTTCCTTTTCCCCCCATTTTACCACATATTTTATTTTAAGAAATGAATGTGGGGGTTTTCAATATACATATAAGCTGCACAACAAAACTTCAAATGGCCTCTGAAATCAGTAAGGAATTTTACACTATGTTGTAATTTTCTTTTATTTCCCTCATTTTTCAACTTCACTGGATTTTAACAAGAGCCTTAAATACCAGCATAGCATAACAGGGCAACGTGGATGTCAGGCTCTAAATCTCAGGCATTCCTCCCACATGAATAATGTAATCTTAACAAAAAAAAAATCCCACTTCAATTAAATTCTTCTAGACAAAATACTGTGAATTGATAATGCTTCTTATTTTGTGATGTTAGTCCCACTGTTTTTCTGCACAATGTTACAATCTGGTTTTGTTTGCTTTTGCTTTTTATATTGTGCCTGAGCCTGTGTACAGTGCATTAGGGAATCCCAAGGTGTGTTTGAGCTGCCCTACCTCTGGTTTCCACAGCGTGGATGCATTTCTTGATGATGCTGAAGCCGATGCTGTCCAGCTGGGCAGCTGCAGGGAGGGCAGAGGGCAGTGGTGAACATCTGGCAGGGCTGCTCCTGCATCCCTGCCATGGCAGCAATGCACCACTGCCCAGAGCACGAGGAGATAAACGAGGGCACAAAAACACAAGTGCAGCAGTTGGTACCAGCTGTAACCCGGGCAAACACAGACACTGAACATCATTCCAGCATTCCTCTGAACCAGGCTCTGCCCTGGGCTCTGCCAGCCATCAAAAATGCAATTAGGATCAAGGTGAGATAACCCAAATTTGTCTGGAAAGTTGACAACGGGTTGCTTGGAAAGAAATGAAGCTGAACATTTTGACACAAACCATTCTTGAATATGACACGTGAGGCGCCTTGCCTCTGCCCAAAAGTGAGAGCTAAACGTGAGAGGAGATGGGATCTACAACTCAATTCACTTGTGCCAATGCAGGTTTTCACTTCTAAGTTCAAGGAATTACGAATACAGGGACCCTGCTGGAAGAATTCATCCCACTGAGAGCTCTCCACCACTGCCCACCACCAGCTATTTATTATGGAAAATCAGTTCCTCCCTACAGAAAGGTTTGGAAAACCTTCCACAGGGCAGGAGCCCCTCAGAGAAGGGTGGGCAAAGGCACCCCAGGCTGCAGAGCCTGGGGAGTGCCACGATGGCAGAGAAACAATTGATTCTGTGCAGAGCAGGGCAGCAATGGAGCGTGCCCAGGGCTGGCAGTGCCCTCGGCACGGCACGTGCAGCCTCCCCTCCCTGCTCACATTCCCCCATCCCTGACCCACGGCTGCTCCAGGGGCAGCTGCCAGCTCAGACAGAGCAGCCCCCTGCTAATCCCCTGCTTGGAGCCCTGTGCTGGGGCTGGCCTTTGTCTGCTGAATGGCACAAGGACCCAGATCAGTGCAAACAGCTCTATTGTGCTTTTCTGGGCAAGCAGGCTCCAGCGCTGAGCCAACACAAGCACACGAGCTGCAGGATGCTGTGCCACAGCACGTGGGGATAATCCAGAAGCTGCAGAGCCCTTTGCTGGGCACCCTCGGGGCTCCCAGCACGGCTGCAGCACAAGCCCAAGGTGCCATCCATGAGCAGGGCACAGCTGATGAACACAAGGGCACCAGAGGAGCTCAAAACCACACTGGGGAAAAGCTCTTCAGCAATTCTGATCAGCCCTGGCTTGGCACTGCTGGGACCCTGACCTGTGGGTATCCCTGTGGGCATCCCTGTGGGCATCCCTGTGGGTATTCCTGTGAGTATCCCTGTGAGTATCCCTGAGTATCCCTGTGGGCATCCCTGTGAGTATCCCTGTGAGTATCCCTGTGAGTATCCCTGTTTGTATCCCTGTGGGTATCCCTGAGTATCCCTGTGAATATCCCTGTTTGTATCCCTGTGGGTGTCCCTGTGGGTGTCCCTGTGTGGTGCTGGCAGTCTGGATCACTGCTTCAGGCCCTCTGCAGGTACCAAGCCACCCCACAGATCAGTTTTCCTTTACCCCCCTGAGTGTTTGGGCCCCCAAGGGCAGGCTGGACAGGGCTTGGAGCATCCTGGGATAGTGGAAGATGTCCCTGCCCATGGATCATCTTTAAGGTCCTTTCCAGCCCAACCCATTCCATGATTCCCTGATTCCCTCACCCTGCAGGGCCCACCACCCCAGGGCAGGCAGGGATGGGATCCCAGCTCCCTGCAGCAACAGCAGGAGGAGGAAACCCAGCAGTGCCTCTGCATGGAAGTGACCTGGAATAATCCCCCTAAGCAGATGAACAAGCTCTTCCACTCACTGGCAAGCTCTGGATCAGCAAAGGTCGGGCATTTATTTGCAGTAGTTATATCCAGAAATAATATCTGATTAAATATCCAAAGTGCCTTTATCCACCCTTAAATTTAACTTTTAATGAGCACTGTAAAAGCTTGATTTCCCCTGTCTCAGAGCATCTGCTCTTTCTCTCAGTCATTTACCAAATGATTGGGTTCAGCAATGGTCCAGACCAAAGGCAGATCTGCATCTCCTGCTGTGCAGATCACAGATCCATGGAATCATCTGGGTTTGAAAAGCCCCCCAAGGCCACCCCTAACCCCTGTCCCCAAGAGCCACATCCTCATGGCTGTAAAACCCCTCCAGGGATGGGAACCCCCCCCTGCCCTGGCAGGCTTTTCAGACAAGAAATTTTCTCTAACTTCCAACCTGAGCTGTCCCTGCCTGGCTGAGGAAAGTGGAAGAGCCTCCCTTGAGGCTCAGCCTCACCCGTGGCACAGGCTCTTCCTCCAGCACCCAGTGCCAAGGAGATGCAGTGCCCAGGCTGTTCTCCATCCCAGAAACATTCCACATCAGCACAGGTGATACAACATCACCTGCACAGCACCTGCTGCCCCCACACCCCCACACTCATCTGACCTTCAGGCACCATCTCATTCCAAGTGCCACTGGACTGGTCTCATCCCATTCTATTCTTGCCTGGCAGATTATTTCTATTTAATCCATTAATTCCTCTCCTTTACGCTGATGTGACACATCAGAGCATCAGGAAGGGGCAGGAGGGCTGAAGCAGCTCTGCCAGCCTGCCTGGCTCCAGCTGTGAGGCAGGGCAAGGTCACAGAGCCATGGAACCATCTCTGCTCTGAGCCCTTTCAAAGGCATTTTGGAAATGAGAAGCACGGGGGAGGGGGGGAGTCATGAAGCAGAGGAATGAGCTTTCTTGTCTTACCAGAAATGAAATTTCAGGCCTCTAACTACCAGTGAGCTGCCAGGATTGGGAAAGGAAATTGAGGGTCAGATTAGGTGAGAGAAATGAAGAAGTTTTTAACAGTGAGGGTGGGCAGGGCTGGCACAGGGTGCTCAGAGCAGCTGTGGCTGCCCCTGGATCCCTGGCAGTGCCCAAGGCCAGGCTGGACATTGGGCTTGGAGCAAACTGGGATAGCAGAAGGTGACAGAGAGGGGAAGAGAGGAGCTTTAAAGTCCTTCCAACCCAAAATATTCTGTGATTCCATGACTGTGATTGTGCCCCAGACAAGGGCACAGCACACAGGGCAGCCAAAGGACTCAAGGTCTGTGAAGAGCTTGTGAAAATAAATACTTTGATGGGGTCCTGAACTAAGGGGGAACCAAGTGGATGTGAAAGGTGGGGAAGGAAATGGTGGGAAGGAAGGGAAAGGAGGAATTTTGTGCTGTTCCATGCAATAAGCACAAATGGCATGGAGGATTTGTTTCCACAGAGCAGGGCCAAGTCCTTCTGGTTAACAAAGCAGAGCATCTGAATTCCCCTGGCTCTCGTGGCTCAGTGACACCACCCAGCCCCTCTGCTCGGCTCCCTCCCCTCCACAGCACACCGGGATCAATCAGCCACAGGCCTGCAGCCATCTGGCCACACAGCAGGACACAAAACCCAGAAATCTGCAAAATTCCAGGTCCTGAAAGTGCCACCACAGCACTGGGAGGCACTTTGAGCCTCCCCTAAGTGCAGGCAGGAAAAGCAGAGGTACAGAGGCCACGGGGGCTCCAGGGTCAGGAATTGCATCCGGACCCTCTCCATCACCACACTCGTTTCAAGTCCTTACAGGAAGATCCTGTATCAAGGGCTGCTGGCACACAGCCAGCTGCTGAATCAATTTTAGAGTGGCTGGGGAGGCAGCAGAGCTCTAAACCAGGGATTTAATGAGGCTGAGGCAGTCAGATCTCTGCCCAGCCCCAGCCCAAGCAGAGGCTTTGGAATCACCTCCAGCCAGGGGTCCCAACCTGCCCCCAGAACCAGGAGGGACACACAAGGAGCAGACAGGGAGGATCACTCTCATTTTTAAGAGACCACCAGAATGATCTGGAGAGCCAAAGCAGCAGGTCCAGGGCTGTGTGCAGGGAGCAGTGACAGCTCATGGCTGGGCAGCACAGAGCTGAGCTGGGCTCTGCTCCTCCCAAACTCCTTCTGGCCCTCGGGGAAAAGAGACAAGAGGAGCTGATCTGGCAGAGCTCCCACCCCAGGGGCACCGGCCATGCTGCCCCTCCCAGTGTGAGCACTGAGCTCTGCTGGGGTCACCTGGCAGGGACAGAGCCAGGTGACACATGCAGGAAAAGATGGATGTGCTGATGCCAGGGAGGATCAAAGGGAAGGAGAAAGCACAGAGGAGAGAGCAGAGAGGGGGAAGAGACTGCTTTGTGCAAGGGCTGAAATGGGTGTGAGGAACATTAGCTGCAAATTACACCAATTATTGAGAGGAAAACGCTTCGGCTCCAGATGGAAATGTCGTGTCTGAGGCAGCAGCAAAATGAACCAAGCTCTGAACGTCAGCCCAGGCCTGCCCTGCCTGACTGGTGGCTTTGAGGGAAGGAGGGAAGGGATTGGGGCTGGAGTATTGCAATTATGGCAAATCCAACCTACTGGGAAATGGCTCAATTAAGGGTTTTAAAACACAGGACACAAGAGGCAGGACCAGGTGCAACTGCTCCTCTAGGAAGAAAAACAAGTGCTTTCCTGACCCAAGGCTTTGATTGCCTGAACCACAATAAAAAGCTTTTTTATTTGTAAGGGCTCTTGTTGACAATCTTGACAAGGCAGGACCTCCTTCCTCCTACATTTCTGCTCTAATTCCCCTTTGGAAAGACACACTGACCCTGCACATTCTGGCTCAGAGAGAAGCCAGCCCTCTGCAGGACTTCAGGAACAGGTCCCAAGGCCACCAGAGCCCTGCTGGGGCAGGGACGGGGTGTGGGGCAGGAGGGGACACACCCTGAGGGGTGCAGGGAGCTGCCTGGCACTGCCCTCCGTGGGCACAGCAGCAGCTTCCTGCCCCTGCTCCCTGCTGGGTGCCACACTCAGCCCTCCCTGGGGTCCCCACACTGAGCCCTGTCCCCTCCCAGCACAGCCCAGTGTCACCAGCATCTCCTGCTGACCCCTCCCACAGCTCAGCCACCTCTCGGGGCTGGAGAAGAAATACTCACTGCCTTCGCTCTGGCTGTCCTTGTTGGAGTTGTACACCTGGAAAACACAAGAAGAAAATCTTATGAAGGCCCTGGCTGCAGCTGGGCTGGCACTGCTGGTGTCACCACTGCTGCCAGGACCTCCCCCAGCAGCCAGGGCTCCAAACACCACCGTGACCTCCTGCACACAAATGCTGGGCTGGCCCAGCTCTGGAGTTATGTTAAAATATCAACCAGGACAGCTCCTAGATGATATTTGAAAGAATAGTTGATAAATGAAAGAATGCAAATGGGATGGACCAGGTCAAAACAGAAATTAGAGGTTTCTAAACAAAATGAAGGTGGGTTGGAGTAGATGACCCTTAAAGGTCCCTTCCAACCCAAACTATTCCATGATTCTGACTCCTCTCCTGAAAGACACAGGTAGAGGACATAAACCTAAACCTAAAGCAGGCAATTCCCTTATGGGCACTGCAGGAACCTCTGGCAGGTGCAGGCACCACCCTCCTCAAGGTGCAGCCTGAGCAAAGGACTCAGGCAAAGAGAGGAAAAGAAATGTCATGAATTTAGAGAGGACAAGAAGTGCAGCAGGATGAGGCACTGCTCCCAGCAGAGCCACCAGCAGGGCTCCATCCTCCATCCCAAGCCTCTCCAGCCTCCAAATATTGATGCTCCTCCTCCCACCCCATCACCACCACAGCCTGGCTACTGGAGATTAAAGTGACATTGCAGTGGACACAATAAACAAGGTTTTCATCACGGTGTGAGGGCACTTTAAAAGCCCAGGATAATACCAACAGCAGCTGTAAGAAGATCAGCCCTCAGACAGGTTCTGTTTCTCCAGCTCAACAGAGCAAAATGGTTTCAAATAATCCTTCGGTGCTCAGAGTGCCACCAGGAGCACCCACACACCCCCCAGTGCTCAGGCAGCATCCTGGATGTGGCCGGGTGGGTTCAGCGTGGCCACAGAACAGGACAAAAGGCTGGGGAAGCTGCTGGGAGCAGGGCTGGAAGCCCCTTGCACAGGGAGCTGCCTGCATCACATGCTGCCTCCCAAAATAGCCAGGGCAAGGCAGGCTTCCAAAGGCCATGTTGATAGCAACGCTCAGAGCAACAGCAGCAGAGGCTGCAGGCAGGGCTCTGCTCCATGGGATCCCACCCTGGGGTGCTCTGACCTCCCCCAGCAGCTCCAGCTCACGATGGGGTGAAGCTGTTGGGATGTTCCCGGAGGATCAGAGCTCACCCAGTGCCCCAACAAGCCCCAGCAGCCCAGGCAGGCTGTGTGTGTGTCACAGGGCATGGCAGCAGCAGGGCACACAGACACATTCGTGCCCTGGAGGTCACCCAAACACTGCAGCTCATCGTGCAGGACACCCCGGCTCGGCTCCACCAGCACCACACGCTCAGGGAAGCACAAATCCAATGGAGAAGCTCAGAAGTGGGGTTTGGGCAGGAACTGATCCCCACAAGGAGCATCTTGCCTCTCCCCATCCCAGGACACCTGGCTACCTAACAGCACAGCAAGCAGAGGTGATTGTCTGCAGGAGAAAATCCATCAGCCACATCTGGCCAGTGGGGGATGATTCAGCAGCAAAAGCAGCTGCAGTCAGCAAGTGAGCTTTCCTCTAGGAGCAGTGTTTATATCAAGAAAATAAAGTCAGTGCAAAGAGGGAAGGAAAAGACTCACAGGCTCCCCTGCAGCCCCACCACAGAGCCTTCCCTGAGGAAGTTGTCCCTCTAAATTCAGTGTCTCTGCTGAGACTGAAGGGACTGGGGGCTCAGCCTGTTACCCAAAGGCTTGGAGATCCCTGGGATCACACACAGGGAACACCAAACACAGCAAAGGATCAGGCTTGGGGCACTGGGACAGTGGGAGGTGAAGCTGAATGAGAGGAGCTCCAAGGTCCTTCCAACCCAAACCATTCCAGCTCCTCCAGCAGCCCCAGGGAGATTCCCTCTGCACATCTGGAGATCCCCCCTGCACATCTGGAGATCCTCTCTGCATATTTGGAGATCCTCTCTGCACATTTGCTCTCCCAGTTTGGATCCCTGGACCAGCAGAGGTTGTGAATCACCAGAGGCTGCTCCCAAAACAAGGGGAAAGGGCACACAAGGAAACACAAGATGCTTCTGCCATTAATTGCAAAGTTGCACACAGGAGAGGGAAGTTTCACCCAGAGGTCACACACAGACACTGCCACCCTACATCCATCACAGGGAGGACAAACCTTTTATCCACTGTCTTTGTTAATCCACTAACACAACTCCACACCAGCAGGGTTTTAACCAAGCCCCAAGTCTGTAACATCCCTTCCTTTCCCAAGAAATCCTTTTCCTCTACTGCCTCAAATCTTTTAGAGGGAGATTTTTCTGGATAAGTTTCCAAGTTTGAGGAAAGGGCTGCTGAATAAGAGGTCCAAGATGAAGCTCCTCCAGTGGCCCAAGGGTCACCCCTGCTCTGCTGGCAAAGCCCTTGGGCTCCTGCCCTGCCAAAGGTCACTCCTGGCCAGCCTGGCCCCAGGGATGTTGATATTCCACTCTTTCCAAAACAGCTCTGATAACAGGCAGGGCTTAAAGCAGAAGGATGCATTTGAAGATTTAGTCTCACACACACATCAGTCAGTTCATGGACCAGCCTCCCCCTGGCAAAGGGTGCAGAATTTTAAAGAGTTTCTTGCTGTTCCCTGCACCACACACACTCAGGACTGTCCTGGGAGAGATGGGCTGGGAAAAGCCCATGGATGGACCCTGGAAAAGCTCTTCTGAACCCTCTTCCAAACAACTGCCAGGTGCTGCATTTGGATTCCCCCACCCTCGCCCTCTCTCTCTCAGGGATTTGCACCATTCCCATGGCCAGGCTGGCTCTGGCTGTGGCACAGACACAGCTCTGGGCCAGGGGAACACGAGGGGACAGCGTGGTGACACTCACAGGGTGACAGCACCCAGCACACAGCCCGTGGGAGCTCTGCAGACACACACATCACCCAGCACCAGCCCAGACAACAAAACACCATGAAATGAGTGGATTTTTGTGCCCACACGCTGTTTTTCCTGTTGTTAACACACTCTGGAGAAAGCAGCCCTAAACCCAGAGAGTTTCTCGTGAAATAAAAAGCTTCTTTCACTTTGCAGAATTAGTCACTGACAAAGGGTGGGAGATCAGAAACATTGCTGGGAGGTGAAGGGCCTGTGGCCCATGGACACGTGTGGGAACAGGCTGGGTTATAAAACTCCCAGAACTGGGACTAGTGACTAACGTGGAGACAAATCCCTGCCCTGCAGCACTGTGATGCTTTAACATCTCCCTCTCACTAATTATTCCCATTCGATTGTATTTCCAGAGCCAAAATATCCTTACCAGGCAGTTTCAGAAGTGATGTGTACAGAAAAAATATCTATTAAGATACTACAAAACGTAGAGACATTGATGTCTTGTATTTAGTTTTCTAAACTCCTACTGTAGATGGTCAAATATCCTGAACAAAACCACATTGTGGAATTTTTTTTTTAGCAGAAACTACTGCTGCTTCATTCCTGCAGGATAATTGCTGTTTGGAAGCTTAAAGGAGGCCCTTTACAAGCTATTATTGAAAAATTCCAAGATGCATCTGTAAGTAATCCAGAAAGATAAATTTTATGAGAGCAGTTACAACTCATGACTACTTTGACACTTGCACTATGCTCAATTATGAACTTGATATTTAAGATAATTCATCAAAGAGCCAGTTATTTCCTTTGGTGAGACCTTTCACCAAATACATGCTATGTTTTGCAGAGGAAATGGTTTTATAGGGATGATTAAGAGCTCTGAGATGTTCGAGGGTGTGGTGGAGGAACACACAGCCCAGGAGGGAGCTCCCTGCCCCCCTGGAGCCACAGGGATGAGCCCAGGGACGAGCTGGGGGTCACTCACAGCCCCCCAGCACTGCCCACTGTTTGCTCCTGGATCCATGTCCCCAAATTCTCATGGACCACAGCCTGGGCAGAAGCAGCAATGCAGGTGCTGCACCTGCTCCTGGCCCCCCTAAATTCAGTCCTGCCATTACCACACACCCCAACAATGGAGCTGTGGATTTGCCTAATCTGAAATCCTCTGAAAGACACCATCAGAAATCCTACAGCCACCAAGAGCCACCATCCAGAGCCTAAAATAATCCTGCAGCCACCAAGAGCCACCATCCAGAGCCTGAAATAATCCTACAGCCACCAAGAGCCACCATCCAGAGCCTAAAATAATCCTACAGCCACCACTCATCATCTGATGCACTTTCTGCTTGTGCACAGATAAATGAGGAAGAATTCAAACCATTGGTTTTCCAGCCTGGTCCCAAACAAAGTGCACACATGACATGCAAAGAGTAAACGTGAGTGGCTTGGGATGACACTGGACTGGGGGAAAAGGAAAGGAAAAGGAAGTAGCAGGGGGATGGAAGGGGAACTACAAAAAGATGATGTCGAGTAATTTCATTTTTATTTCCCCATTTCAGGGGTCATGCTGTTGCCCACGGTGTTCATTAACCTCCACAAGACAGGGGCTACGATTTCCTATGGCACTTGTTTCATTTTCTCATTCATTTTCATTTCAAGTTTAAAATTCAAAACGACCCAACCTAAGCTGTGTTTAGCACAGCTCCCAAAATCCTTCAAATTCCAACAGTGGCACGAAATTCTGCCCAAAAACCTAGAGGAAAGGATTGTCCAGCTGCTCAGAGGGATTGAAGGAAAGCACGGGAGCACAGCAGCCCTGGTTTGCAGAGAGGGGATCTCCACTGAAGAAGGATTTCAACTCCATGCCCTGGCGTGGAAGATTCCACCTCACACTCCTTTCACTGCTGCTGGGACGTTCCCTTCAAGCCAGATTTTCCATTTGGACTCTCAGAACGGGCCAGTGCTGCCAGAATTCCCTGGTGTCCCTGGGGGAGCGTGGTGTTTGCAAGGTCCAGAGCAATGGGAGGAAACGCTGCAGTGTTATGCAATTTCCTTGTGATTCATTTTCAGAAATCCTCAAAACAGCCAGGAACGAGTCTTTCAGCTCAAAAGATGCACAAGCCCAAGGGG